TGAGACCGAATGCATGTGATCGGACTCTGGCTGAACACTGTTCAGCATCCAGTCCTACTGACGTGGCGGCACGTAGAGAAGAGGAGGACGAGCGGACGCACCGGCGCGTCCGGTCTTGGTTGATCGGATGCGTACGGTCAAGAAAAATCATCTCTGAAACCTTACTGGAAACGACCAGACAACAGTGATGGAGCGTCCGGTCACTTTGAGCAGCGCGTCCGGTCGGAACTTAACATGTGGCACGAAGCAGACTAGCCATTAAGATCGGGCACTCAGCATTTGAAGCTAATGACACGTGGCAAGCATCGAGCGACCGGACGTAGGGGTCTAGCGTCCGGTCAACCTGACCGGCGCGTCCGGTCAGCTCGTGTTTCACTAGACTGAGGAGCCAATGGCTCTATTTCGTTGGGGCTCTATTTAAAGGCGTGTGACCGTCTCTAGCTCACTCTCTTCACCATTTGCATTGACATAGCAACCTTGTCAGCTTAGCCAAAGCCCTCCCACTCATCTTCATCATTGATTCATCATCTTTGTGAGATTGGGAGAGAATCTAAGTGCATTGCTTGAGTGATTGCATCTAGAGGAACTTGGTGTTTGTGTTTCGCTGCGGAATTCACTTGTTACTCTTGGTGGTTGCCGCCACCTAGATGGCTTGGAGCAGTGAGGATCATCGAGCGGAGGTTGGTGATTGTCTCCGGCTCCAATCGTGGTGATTGTGATGGGTTCTTGACGTTTCCCCAGCGAAGAGCCAAAATGTACTCTAGTAAATTGCTCGTGGCTTGTGTGATCCTCATCTTGTGTTGGTTGTGCGGCACCCTATTGAGGGTTTGGCGTGTGATGCCAATTAGCACATGAACCTCCAAGTGAGTGAATCGCCACAACGAGGACTAGCTTGCCGGCAAGCAAGTGAACCTCGATAAAAAATCATTATGTCATCATTTGATTCCGAGGTGATTGGTCTTCATTGGTCCTCATTCTTGTGATTGATTGGTTCATTCCTCGACTCGGCGGTATAACCATCTTGTTCTCTCTCTTTAAATTACCGCAAACTAGTTGTCAAGCTCTTTAGTGTAGCTAGTCGTGAGAGCTTGTTAGTTTGGTTAGTGTAGCTATTTAGTTAGCCTTTGAGAGCACACTAACTTAGTGTAGTGATATAGCCATTGTATGGATAGAGACTATAGAAACTAGAATTGTGGTAGGTAGCTTGCATTTTTAGTAGGTTAGCGCAACACACGCTTCACCTCATATTTGTTTAACCGGTTTGCTAAGTGTTGTTATAGAAATTTTTAATAGGCTATTCACCCCCTCTAGCCATCAGGGCCTTTCAGAGGGCTACGGTGAGGCCGTGCGCACCGGAGCCGAGAACGATGGCGAGGCCGGCCGTCGAAGACGCGGAAGAGGTCGCCGCCACGCGTGCCGTGGAGACGAGGTCGGACGATGGCGAGGCTGGCCACAAACAAGGAAGAGGGGGCGAGTGGCGAGCGTGGCCGGTCTAGGGGAATGAAGAAGCGCGGTGTGGCCGTGGCGGTGAGTGAAATTTTGGGGAGAAAGAAGAAAGAACACCCATATATATACGGTAGAACCCTATAGTCCCGGGTTGGGCCACCAACCGGAACTAAAAGGCCTTTAGTCCCGGTTTGTGGCCCAACCCGGTACTAAAGGTTGTGACAAAACTATGCTTTCATATCCTTTAAATGTTTAATAACATATGCTATAAATTATAATTACAATTTAAAAATTCAAATTTCAAATCTAAGAAATTCAAACATAGTTTTACTTCACAAGATGATTTCAATGAAAAAGTTGTCAACTACAAAGTTGTATAACTTTTCGAGATATACAACTTTCATTTTGGTCATTTCTCCATTTAAGGACATTTTAAAAATTCAAATTTCAAAATTTAGAAATTCAAACAAAGCTTTCCTTGACAATGATTTCGAATCAAAAAGTTGTCAGCTACAAAGTTGTGTAACTTTTCGAGATCTATAACTTTTATGTTTATAAATTCCTCAGATGAATTCATTTACTTCTACAAAATTCTATTTGAAGTTGCCATCTTTTGAGAATCAAATTTTGAATTGATAAAACAAATTCACATGAAAAGATGACTAAAATGAAAGCTGTCAGAACACAATAAATTGATAGAGCATGAATTTAGAAATTTTAGGAAAAAAAATCATCAAATTTAAAGTTAGTATCACGGAGAAAGACTAGTTACAAGTTTTAGCTAGAGATTAAAAAGAGAAATAAAACTTCTTTAAAAAGTTAATTTCAAACATAATTTCAAAAAATAGTAGATGATCTCAAATAAAAAAGTTGCCAACTACAAAGTTGCATAACTTTTCGAGATCTACAACTTCGTATTGGTTGTTTCTCCATTTGAGGCCATTTTAAAAAGTAAAATTTTAAATTTGAGAAATTCAAAAATAGTTTTCCTTGATAAGATGACTTCAGCTGAAAAAGTTGTCAACTATAAAGTTAGTATAACTTTTCGAGATCTACAACTTTCGTATTAGTTGTTTCTCTAATTTTTTTATTTGCATATGCATTTCAATCCTACACGAGTTAAATTTCAATCCATACAAACATAATTATAATATCCATACAAATAAACCTAATGAACATAATTAACATGCATACAAACATAATTAAAATATCCACATAAATAAACCAAATTAAACATAACCGTTCGAATAAACCTAATTAAACATAATCATTCGAATAAACCTAATTAAATATAACAATACAAATAAACCTAACTAACATATGGATCCTACAAACCCGCTGCAACCCTAGCCTGTCTCCACTGCCAGTAGCGTATGTCTTGAATTGTGTAACCACGGTCATTGTCTATGAATGCAAGGCCCGCACTACAACACTCTCCATTGCCTCACAACGCCGAGGATATGGCATCCCATAGATGTTCCCTGCTGACGGACAATCGATGGCTTGGTTCTGCCTAAATCTCACGCAATACTGGATGTCAGCTGTCATCCTCTGGCCCATCACTTCCACGAAGTCCTAGGCGTACCCCAGTCGATTAAGAGCTTGCGTGAGAATGGGCTGCAAGCAACTTGTAGCATAGGTGAAATCATAGAGCAAAACTTACAAGTGGACAAACAAAAAATATCAGAAAGCGCTCATATAATAATAAGAATAAATAAATATTACTCTCATATCATGCACGACGTACCACATCTATATGGTTGAATGTCGCATGCCTCTCGCTTACTCACGGCACATCCAGACTATGCTGACGTAAAGCTTCTATCTACAAGTACGAGAAATCAGGCATACGGTAGCCAATTCGCTCAATTGCCTACAAAGAAAGCATCACGGCATTGATCTAGGCGCCTATCTTGGTCGACGACTATCGTCCAATCTGCACGATGTCCTGGTGCATCTCATTATTATACCTAATGGGGATGTTGAAGGCGAGACTGTACGTCCATAACTCGTCTCCTTCATCATTCACAACCTCACTTATCGTCGTCTCGAAGATGTCCCTCACCCCGAGCAGCCATAGTGCTGCTTCCAGCAACTTGACCAGTTTTTATAGTCTGTGACATATGCAACAATCTTGTTATGAATGAATGTATATATGCAAAAATTATATTAGCACGTAAAACTTAAAATATTTCATACCAGGGTGGAAACCTAGTTCCTGTGGCTGGAGAAGTCGGCCGCCATTCATCGTAACTAAAAAAACTGAAAAAAGATCCCAGTAAATATAGAACCGCCATATAATTATACTATGCAACAACATATATTAGAGAAACATATAAAAAATAAATCATCAATATATATATATATATGCATGCCAAGTAAACTTAAACATTTTGCACATAATTTTTTTAACGATTATTAACTCTCATCAAGAAATAAAGTTGCTAACAAAGATCTAGAAAACAATAAATGTTTAAGGTTATGTAGAAATGATGTATAAATAAAAATAAAATCCACCATTATTATTTCTAATTAAAAAACCACATATTTGAATATTTCTATGCTTATTACTAAAGCATGAAACAATCTACATTATTAGCAATGAAAGATTAGAAAATGAAGTTGCTAACCTTTAGAAGACTGAAGATGAAGCCGGCGGCCGAGAGCAAGAACTTGCTCCCCCAAGCAAGAACACGGATGAACAAGCAAAGTCTCCTATTCGGTTATAATAGAGGAGTCCAACTAGGATTACAGTGTAGCAATGTTACTAGGATTACATGTGGAAAATTCTAGTCGGACTAGATCTTCTCTCTTCCTCGCGGGGTAACCGGCGATTATGTGCCACACCGTCGATGCAGCCTTGCGGCTGATTCCACCCATGCCACGGTCGCCCCCGCCACTCGGAGACGGCGCTAGGGTTTGGGAATCGCCGCCGCTTGCTCGACCGGGAGCAATCGAGAGGGTCGAGGATGAGACTGGCGAGTGCGTTCGTGTTCGCGTCCGCGATCATGATACCGTGGCTGCAGGTACGGGACGGGAGCAGTGGAGCGGGACTTTGGCGAGCGAACAACGCGATGGCGTGACTGGCAGCGTGGGGTTAGCGTGTGACTTCCGTGAGAGGACGGACGTGGGAGCATCGGGCCCAGCTATGGCTCGGTTAAAAGCCGGGGGACTCTCGCGAGGTTAAACAGCCGGGTGAACGATTCTCTTCGCTAATTTTTAGTTGTATATACAGAGACTTAGTTAGTAGTACATCCTAGTGGGCAGTTTGTGGTCAGAAAACAAGTTTGGCACAAGCGGGACGACTGGGTCACGACTTGACCGACGGCAAGTCTCCGCTGGACTGGCCCCACACAAATCACACGCCAGCGACAGCGTACCGTCCGGTGGTTGGAATATCTAGTCCGACAGTCTGTGACAAGGCCATGTGCCTGTGGGACTGCATTTTCGGGTGGGCTTTAATTTGTCGGCTTGGTGCACGTCTCTCATATACAAGTACAGATTTTTATGTCCTTCCTTCGTCTCCGAACCTTGCTCAAGCTTACCTAGTAACAATGGCGGCAGTGACCGCGAGCTGCCGTCGTCCCTCCGGCCTCCACGTCTCGTGCAGCCTCTGCTGTTTCTGGATGCTACTACTGTCCATCCATGTCCCTCGCGCTGGATCGCTGTCCTTCGACCTCCGCTTCTCCAAACCCCAGAGCCCCAATGTGTCCCAGCTGATAAACTGCACCGGCGACGCGCTGCTCACTCAAGACACACTTGAGCTGACGCGGAACAGGCTTGACCAGAGCAGCACAGGCAGCGTCGGCCGGGCCAAGTACATGCAGGCAGTGCGGCTGTGGGATGGAGCCACCGGCGAGACGGCCAGCTTCACCACCACCTTCTCCTTTCGAATCATTCCGGACGCGAGGACGTATCCTGGCGACGGGATGGCTTTCTTCCTCGGGCATTTTTGGTCCGACACCCCCCGATACAGCGGAGGCGGCAGCTTGGGCCTCTTCCCGGGGGGCTCCAACGGCACCGGCGACGGCACCATCGTCGCCGTCGAGTTCGACACCTATCTGAATCCGGAATACGCCGATGTCAGCTACAGCCATGTGGCCATCGACGTCAACTCCATCAACTCCACGGCAGTGGAGGACACCACCTCGCCGACAAAGAACCTCACCTCCGCCGGTTACGTGATGATGGCAACCGTGAGGTACGTGAATGTCACCAGGTTGCTCGCCGTCCAACTCACCATCAACGGCACATCGTACAACGTCAACGCTACCGTTGATCTGAGGAGCTACCTGCCAGAGCATGTCGCCGTGGGCTTCTCGGCGGCGACTGGCATCGGCGGCGAGCTGCACCAGATACTGTCATGGTCATTCACATCCACTCTTCAGGAACCACCAGCACCGGCACCGGCTCCGGCTCCGCCGCGGCCACCACCTCTGACATCTGACAACATCCAGCATCCCAATAAAAGATCAGTGGGAACCCTGACAATTGCCGTGCTCGTGCCTCTGCTGTTTCTCTTGGCATGTGCAGGCGTGCTGGCCTTTTTTGTACGGCATAAACGCAATAGAAGAAGAAGATTGGGAGGAATGCTACCAAAGGAAACCAGCGATGACGACAACGATTACCAAGAACAAGACAGCAGCAGGATGGAGCTCGAGAGAGGGGTGGCTGCCAGCGGCCCCCGGCGGTACGCGTACCGTGACCTGGCCGCCGCCACCAACAACTTCGCCGAGGACGGCAAGCTCGGTCGCGGTGGCTTCGGAAGCGTCTACAGGGGTACCCTCACTGTCGCCGGCGAAGAGCGCCCAGTGGCCATCAAGATGTTGTCGTCGGACTCGTCGGCGCAGGGGAGGAAGGAGTTCGAGGCGGAGGTGCGGATCATCAGCCGGCTCAAGCATCGCAACCTCGTGCAGCTGCTGGGTTGGTGTGACAGCCGCCATGGCCTCCTGCTCGTCTACGAGCTGGTGGCCCAAGGCAGCCTCGACAGGCGTCTCCACAGCAGCGACGGAGGTGAGAGCTTCTTGACATGGCCGGAGAGGTACCAGATCATCCTCGGCCTGGGATCCGCGCTGCGGTACCTCCACCAGGAGTGGGAGCAGCGCGTGGTGCACGGCGACATCAAGCCCAGTAACATCATGCTGGACGACTCGCTGGGCGCCAAGCTCGGCGACTTCGGCCTCGCCCGGCTCGGCGACCACGGCGGGCGGTGGCAGACCACCAAGGCCGTGCTCGGCACCGCCGGGTACATCGACCCGGAGTTCGTCAACACGCGGCACCCGAGCACCCACGCCGACGTCTACAGCTTCGGCATCGTCCTCCTCGAGGTCGTCTCCGGCCGGTCTCCGGTGGTCTTGCGGCAAGGCGAGCCGCCCTTCGTTCTGCTGAAGTGGGTGTGGGGTCTGTATGGCCGGAACGCGATCCTTGACGCGGTGGACGAGCGGCTGAGGGCCGGCGACGAGCTCCACGACGAGTGCATGGAGAGGGTGCTCGTCGTCGGGCTGTGGTGCGCGCACCCTGACCAGAGCGAGCGGCCATCCGTCGCGCAGGCCATGCACGTCCTGCAGTCGGAGGACGCCAGGCTTCCGGCGCTCCCGCCGCAGATGTACAAGGCGGCGTCGGACCTCGCCGTCACTGGACGTTCCTACGGCGCTTTGTCCGTTGAGAGCTTCAGCGGTGGTGATTCATCTACGACAACAACGACGACGACAACCACCGGCGACTCCAAGCTTTCTTCAGGCTCGTCGACCACTGCCTTGCTCCGAGATACAAAAGAGAGATCTTGATTTCTGCATTTCTTTCTTTCTTTTTTTTGGGAAATGTTGAAATGGACTGCCCACGGTCTATGTGGATGCTGAATTGTATCATTACTGACTGTAAAAATGTGTTTTCACTTTTATTAGTTGGGTTGAAGCTAACACTTTACCGTTTTGATTCTTCCTTCACACCAATTGTCCATATTTTTTTTGGCGTGAAAAAGAAAGCAGTGGAAAATTACAAAAAACCTAGGCTAGTCAGAGCCAGGAGTTTTTTTTCTATAGAACAAGTAGCAGTAGAGCCGTCGGTTATATTAAAAATAAAAAATTAACTGGATATATAGTAACCGAACAACGACCACGCATCGAGCAATGACAGAAGTCAACAACAGGCAACCCAATGAAGCTAAGCTAACAACACAAGAGGTTCTGCATACCCACTTGCAACTTACTTTGCTATATATTAAACCAAAAGTTTTTTATATTACCAAATCTCCGTGTTGGAGACTATTGACCTTTGCCCTCAGCCCCTCACCCTCCCCCTTCATGTTTTTGAATTTTGTCTCTAGGTTCTTTTTCTTTCAGAGATAGCGTAACTTTGAAAACAAAGAAGACTTGGTCAATCAAGCCGAACCAAAGATTTTGTCAGGCGCATTGATTTGGAGACTTTGCCAAAAAAACTAGAGCTGAAGACAGAGTCAGAACCTGGGAACAATGAAGGACCAACTTCGAGAGGCAAAAACCCAGTGCTCTCCAGCGATCTTGTGAGGTCAAACATGTATATTATGAATGAACTACGCAAAAGACTGGGTTTTTTTTATGTTTACTATTATTAATTAGAAGCCCCAAAAGAGACGCTATGTTAATCCTTATGAGATATGCTAGAAAAAAAATAAATCTTACAAATTATTACAGTAATTAGAAATATCTACTCTTTAATTTAGAATACTCTAATCAACATCACCAATAAATCTATTTAATGTTTTCTATTTTATAAAAGCGACACCCCTCTAGTATTACTAGATGATACCCTGCGCGTTGCCGTAGAAATTTATCGCGTTGACTTGTGTTGGCTAAAGTGACAAACAGTGAAATCATGAAAGCAAGTATATTATTTTTATTACAGCCTTCCGTGCAGCGATTGTTGCGAGTTCGTTAGTGTCTTCCATTCCTTCACGGTGCCGCCTGTTGTAGTGCCTTTGTCTCTTCATTCCCATTCCCTGATGAAGCCTTGTTGTGGGTAATTGGTTCACCAAGAACTATATAGATAAATTGAAATTGAAGTAAACATCATTGCTAACATCAAGACAACTAAAATTGATGAAGTATAAACACTACACATACGCATGGAAGTAGGAGGAAAGCAGTAACTTCTGTTGTTGAATATTTGTATTATACTAGATAAATGCCCGTGTGTCGCATAGGGAAAATAATGCCACGATAATTTAAGTTGACACGTGTATTCCGAAGAACAATTTCACTTGACGAACCCTATGTATCCATATTGATGAGGGGGGCGTGAGTGACCTCTGAAAGTCAAACTCTAGTTGATGGGTCATCTCTTTCAACCGTTTTTCTCGAGAGATGATCTTTTTTCCTTGCGGGCCAATAGCCCTCACAAATTGTCATATTGATTCATCACAAGCACAGGAGCACCGGACGCCACCTAATCACCTAGAAAGCTTCTCCTCCAAATGTAACAAATGTGCAACCGAGATTCTTGACTTATCGCAAGTGCTCAAGGCTATGGACTGTCCATATATACAAGTTCACTAAGGCTCTCAAACTTCAAATCACTCAAACAACTAAACTTTTTTAACCCAAATCACTCGTCCCAAAACAATAACCAAAATATTATAAGCAGACATGCAGCTATTGTAATAACCTAAAGAAATTTGAAAAATAATCAAATAATGCAACTAGAAAATGGATGATATGTACGAAAAAAAAGAAACACAGATTCAATTCATGGTCTTTCAATTTTATTATATTTGATGGTATAAGTACAACAAAGCCTTGCCCTAGTTGCTTATAAAGAACAATACAATATATATGGGCCGGGGATAATAAGTCCCTGTAAAATACAGGCCTTATACAATATATATGGGGATAATATATAAGTCCCTGTGAAATACAAGCCTTATACAATATATATGGAGATAATAAGTGTTGACATTTTATGGAATTCCTTCCATGATACAAACAAACATCAATAGCATACATAGTCACAATTATTCATTATTTATCTCTTATTGTCGTGGTACTTAATTATATAGATAGATTGTTTCCACCTTGAGCTTCTTCATGGAAAAACCTCAATGATTGAATGAAAACCTAGTATGGGCGTGATCTTGTAATCACTGAATCCAGCTTTTGAAAAGATTTTTCTCCATTCGTGCTCCTCTCGCTCAGACCCACCATATCGCATCATGTACATATCAAACAACACTTGCGTCTCTTTGACAACTTTGTCCAGTGATCCATAGCCGACCACAACATTCATAATGATCACTTTACCTCCAGCATCTCTGGCGGGAATTGCTCTCTTGCACTGTTGAAGTATCTTGACACAGTGGTCGTCATCCCAACAATCCAAAACATGCTGAAACATACATGTGCATACATAGACATCATTTATATATCCACATGAATATTCCATGCATAAATCATCACTAGCCAGTACTACCACTAAGGTTCTGTTTTGATCCATTAGCTGCTAGTAGTTAGCTAGCTAATAGGCCACAGCTAATATTAGCTAACTAGTTTTGTTCAGCAAGTGAAATAGTTGTTAATTTGGTATTCAGCTAACAATTAGCTAAACTATTAGCTAGACTTGTTTGAATTTAAGTAGCCAATTATTAGCAACTAAAACTATTAGCTCCTTGTATCAAACCGAACCTAATATTGATGACGAGGAGGAGATCGAGGATGATATATCTATCTATCTATTGGAATATATTTATATTTACCTTTAGAAAAACAGCATCTGTAGGTGGAATAGACTCAAACATGTCACCGGCGATGAACTGCACCGTGCTATGAACATGATCAGTGCCAGCTCGTGGCACCTTGATGATCACTTGTTCGAGGTCTAGTACACTGCAGTTGATGTGCGGAAAGGCCGTAGCGATGGCCATAGCGGCTGCGCCATGGCCCCCTCCAACATCGACCAGCGAGCTGAGCCCGCTGAAGATACTGCTGGCGCCGCCGCCTCTGCAGGTATCTTTCAGCATGATGTCCATAGCCATGCTGGTGTCCACGACACACGCTTCGTTCATGGCTCTATTGTAGGCGGCGTCGTTCTTCGTCAAGCTCCATGGAGGCACACCAAGTGCCATCTCGAAGAGAGTCGTGGTTCCTCCATCTCTGAACCACTCTTCCAAGCCGAAGAAGGTGGAGACGGACGTGCTAGGGCGCGCCAAGAGGCGGAGCAGTGCCGACATGTCAAGCGAGGAGGCCCCTGATGCCTCCTTGTCGTCGGCGACGAGGACGCTGGACACGGGGGTGAGCGTGTAGACGGTCTCACTCTCACCATCATCGGCGGCGGCAGCGGCAGCTCGCTGCTCGCCGGCACCGAAGATGCCGAAACTGGTAAGCATACGCATGAGCCGCCGGAGGTGTGAGCGCTTGGCGGGGTGGACACCGGTGTTGGCGACGAGGTCGGAGATTGTTGCTGCGCCGCCGCGGCGGAGGATGGCGCCGGGGATGCCTAGTCCGACCGCGCACAGCAGCGCCGATGACTTGATGTGGTAAAGGCCGTGGTGATACAGCTCCACGTAAGTACGGTGGTGAAGGTGGTTGTGGGCGTTAGGCTCTTGTTGCTCTGCATGGGCAGAAGTCGACATGGTGATGAGATGTTGTTGATTAATTTTTCATCCGTCATTCATATTTCATACATGGATGGGTCTCCATTGGCACCGGTTTTATAAGCGAGCATCCGTGGGCACGATCCTCACCAACCAACCAGGAGCACCCACCATGAATTAGCAACATGAGTTAGATGCATTCGCATGGACACGTGTCGTGAATTCACGGTGACTGCCCATGGCAGTGAGGACTGTCCCGGCCCACTAATTTTTTTTCCTCCAGCAAACACATGGAGACAGCTGAATCTTTTTTGTTTTAACCGAAAAAATTATAACATTTTAATAATAACATATTCATAATTAAATCTTCAGCAACACACCACTAGACATGGCATGACAAATGAATAGTCACATTCACGCCATATGCATTAGCGTGACTAAATATATGTTGGTGTGTAGCGTGAATACTTTCCATATAGAATTCGGTCACCCCATTTTGCTTGGCATGGCTGACAGCTGGCCCCATTTGGAAGAGCTCCGCTCTCTGATTTTTCAACTCTGCTCCTTTGATTCTCCAATGAAGTGATTCCATTGGATTCCTAAGAGTGAGCAAGGTGGGGAGCTGATGAGAATTGATTCTGTACTGATTCCCACCAAAATATAATAAGGACCAGGGTGAAGCAGGTCTTTTTAGCTCTTAGCTCCTAGTGTAAATGGAGAAATGATTCTCTCCTGATCCCCACCTGAATCAGTTGGCATTTTGAGCGTTTGGTTGGTTGTGAGTGTTTTTTCAGAGAAGCTGGAGCTGGAGCTGGAGCTCTCCCAGACAGAACACATGTGTGTCCATTCTTCTCAGGTGCTTTTGATTTTTTAATAGACTATTTTGAGGTTAAATAGGTTAACCAAAAATTTAAATATAGTATCATATGGAAAAAAAATCTTTTTATTTGAATAAAATTGACCATATTCAATTTGTAACATCTATGTAGTAACAAAATTGAAGAGTTTTAGAGATCCTTAGATTTGAATCAACAAAAATCCCAAAAAAGTTCAAAAACACATTGTAGGGTCGAGATGGCGGAGTAAATGGGGTGAATAGTCTTTTCTAAAAATAATCGCGCCGGCTAAACGAAACAAATGCGGAATTGAAACTATCGGTCTAGCCAAGACTACACCCCTCTATCTAAGTTCACAAGCACCTTAAAAAGATCCTAAACAAGCAAC